GCAGGCATAAAATAACATCACGCCCTTTATCCCTTTATCGCATTGGGTCATCTTGTATTGGTAAATGTAAGTAAGTAAATACATAAATAATAGGGCTGAACGTTAATATCTTAGGAGAAAGCCCTACTTATAAGAAAGAACAAAGTGAATGTAGCACGTGTGGTGTCTGCAGTATGCGCGGCGGCGGCGGCGTGCGACGCGGACGCGCGGCCGGCGCTGTGGGGCTCCGTGGTGGCGTGCGGCGGCCTGGCCAGCACGCCGGGCTGGCTCGAGCGCCTCGCCAAGGACCTCGCCGCGCGCGCGCCCAGCTCGCATCGCCTCAAGACCACCGCCGCGCCCAACCCCACGGAGCGACGGTTCGCCGCCTGGATCGGTAACCTACTACAACTCACTTTTTTATGGCATAAGCCGGTAAACGAGCAGGCGGATCACCTGATGGTAAGCAATCGGCGTCGACCATGGACACCTGGAACACCAGAGGCGTTACTAGTGCCTTACCAGCCTTTTGGGAATTAGGAGTTTGAGGATTGTTGGGGGGATTCAGTGATTGGGGAGACTGGGGAAAGGGAAGGTAATTGGGCCTCCGGTAACCTCACTCACACGACGAAACACAACGCAAGCGTTGCCTCACGTCGGTTTTCTACTCGGCCGTGGTATCACTCCGGTCGAGCCGGCCCATTCGTGCCGAAGCATGGCTCTCCCACACACAAAGTTGCAGAATGCGACTGTTGTTCCTATCATTAATTCCATGATCAGATAGAAACCACGACACTCAAGTTTTCGAAACATTACCATAGAATAAACCCAATTCTGTGCCCCTATTTTACGCAATAAATATCATAATTAATAATTTTATGTTCCAGGTGGCTCGATCCTAGCTTCCATAGGCTCCTTCCAGCAGATGTGGATATCATCACAAGAGTATGATGAAGGCGGCAAGGGGCAGCTCGAGAGGAAATGCCCTTAATGTATAAACAATTGTAAATATACATACATACACATTTTTATATATATATATATTAGTTGAGGATAGCTGGTATTTGTGTAAAGAAATGATCTAGACTTAGGAGCAAAGACACGGAGGCACTAGCAGTTGTTTTTTGTAACTATATCGAACACTCTATAACTTTAAAAAAAATATTCCTTTTACAACAAAATGCTCTCATTTAAAAGGCGACCAAATTGCATTTTATAGGATATACGGGTTATGTTGGGTACTGCCTTCATCAAAAATAAATTATTTCGACTATTCAATACAATAAAATATAAAAAAATAAACACACTCTCATTACTTAATTGATTTTATGACCAACTTTCATTTTAGTATATTTCAGCAATTTTTTAAGAAATAAGTTGCAATGCTGTTTGACGCTAAAAAACCGTGACGTCACAATACACAATCTCGTACAAAATTCATAGAAAATTGTCATTTTTGACAGTTCGAAAAAAGTATTGAATTTGACTAGTTGGCAAGTACACAATTAATAAAACATGTACTTGTATCAGAAAATAATTTGATGTCGCAGTGGCCCGGAGGCTTAAGAGTAACTTCTCATGCATGAGGCACCCTCATGGTGAATGAGTGGTTTGAAACCTACAAACAGCAAGTTTCTAAGATTATCTAGACACCACTGACAAACGGTGAAGGAAAACATTGAGCTTATAATTTCTAATTATAAGTTTGAAATCGCCAAACTGCATTGAGCAAGCGTTGTGATTAAAACTTAAGCCTTCTCCGTGTGAGAAGAGGCCTTTGGTCAGCAGTGGCTACTTATAGGCTCTTCATGTTGATGATGATGATCAGAAAATATTTATCAAGAAACTAGCTGACCCAGCAAACTTCATACCGCTTCAAAATGTTTTTCTCACATTTTAAACCTTCCCTGGACTTCCACAAACATTTCAAGACGAAAGTTAGCCAAATCGGTTCAGCTGTTCTCGAGTTTTAGCGAGATTAACGAACGGAAATTCATTTTTATTCAAAGTCAAAGCATTTATTTCAATTAAACCATAATTTGATACTTTAGAAACGTCAGCAAATACAAAATAAATAATAGTCTGTCAGTCAGTCCGTCAGTGAAACTAGGTGAAGCTACGTGCTGAATGGAGAAGAACGAGCAAGAAACTCCATTCGTTATTTTTTTTTAAAAAAGTAAGTTCTACTATGTGTCTGATACATATTTCAATACTGTACGTATATGTGAGAACAATGCAAAGACTTATATTTATATAGATAGATGAAACAGAAAAAATGGTAGGCTCCGACTCTTTGCTCACAAGTGTATTTCAGTAAATATCCCGGTGTACATGGGACCCATAACAAAATTGGTTAAATGAGGTGTTACATTGCATATCTGCAGCTCTGTCTACTTCTAATAACTCTATTTAGATGTATATTAAAAATCTCAGTAGTAGCACTGGAATTGTGTCCAGTATATGGCAATAGGCTCACCCCCTATTACATGGAACTCATAACATAAATAGTGAAAAGTGAGTGTTACATTGTAGTGGCATTGAGTGCCGTAAGTGCACCTCTGGCTCCCTCTTCGAGGATAAAAGGCGTGATGTTATGTGTAATAAATTAAAGGTCTGTGTTTGAATGTCTGGAAAGCTGCTATCTGTCAGATAGGTACTATTAATGCATATTTTTATTCGTGTTTCAATGAGTCATAAGTTAGTTGTGGAGATAATTTGATTACATTGTATCTACGGACTCACGAAGCGATTACCTTCTGCGCCCGTCGCAGTTGCGGCCCGCAGCCTGTAGAATACAGATATGTATGTAAAAATCAAAGCACATTTATTTTCACGGCGCGTTGTACGCCGCGCGCTCTACGATCAGTTGGCGGGCCATCGCAGGTTAGTTTCCTAAATTTTATTTTAATGTCCGTCTGGTACATTAATTTAAAACTTTAGACACGTATTTTTTCTTTTCTCACAAAAATAAATACTTTCGACGATATTTTAATTTGAAATATCGTGTGACGTCACAACGTGCCACATTTTGTAGCACGTTATGACGTAACGACCTCCCACTCCTAAACTTAGCGCCATTTTATCTAAGTATTGCAACTGAATACGAGAAAATAAAAAAATATGTGTCTAATATTTTTTCATTATCTAACTTGCGGACTAATTAGATCTTTAATTTTGATACCCTGGAAACTACCCAATGGGTCGGCTGGTCTGGAACTTAGCTGATTGTTTAACAACCCGGCCGGTCTTGCAATAACCGGGCGCGGGTGAATATTCCGTCGTGAGTCCATAGCGTAAGAGGGAGTACCAACTATCTGGTCGATCTGTCGTCAGGAAGAGAAATACAGATTACTAAAGACCCAATAAACGGAGCAAGATAAATAAAACCATTTAGTAGACACTAGGCACTAGAGGCTCATATTCATAAGCAGCCTTCTGCGACACATGACGTGACGACTGCATGGCTTGAAACCAGTCAAATTCCTCGTCAAACAGTGTAACTGAACAAGCCGAAAACATAATATTTAATATAGTATGTCTCACCTTTTTTATATGTTATACATGTGTATAATCAACCATTCAATTTGGCATATTGTCAATGAAAACTTTTCAATAAATTGTATATGAATGACACATTATGGTGTCATTAAGGCTAAGGATTCTCGGCGCGATTTCCTCCTGCGCCCGCCGCCTGTAGAATACAGATGTGTACAATTGTTTGCCTGAGACGCCATTTATCTCTTTTACACTGACTTACCTTAGTAAAATAAGGTTGTGTGTAGTATGTATACGAACATATCGCCAAAATTGTTAATATACCGCTATCCTCAATGTTTTTATAGGCAATAAGCAGTGGGGTTTTTACCAAACAGTGGGCAAATGACTATAAAGGATCTTAGTAGGTGACGCTCTGTAGCTTCTACCTACCATGGAACAAAGACATGACTTTACTTGTATTATCTATCAGATGGTAGTAAAACTTTCTATCTCGTTGAGTACCGTCATTATAGACACAATTATAGAACAATAGATTGCTGTCACCGGTGACCGCTTGGTGTTTGACAGTCTATATGGCAAAAATGGCTCTGAAAACTTTGAGAACAATAGTTTGTCATTACCCAACTAAAATTATGTCCAAGCTTATCCTCATTGGGTTATGTAGGGATGATACCATTTATTTAGTGCAATAAATTCACCCTCTATTACACGGGACTCATAACTGGAGAAAAGTGGTTGTTACATTGTATATGTCCATTTGTGCTCCTCTGACTACCCCTTCAGAGATAAAAGAGACTTGACCTTTATGTCATGTTGTGATGGTAACACTAAATATTTTTTGCAAAATCCCTTGTAAATCGTTGGGATCATGTTAATAGTTGAACTCATATTAATGGTCGGGCCACTGTCAATAACTGGGTCCTTCATTAATCTCCGGGCCCCTCGTTAATCGTTGGGCCTCTGTTAATAGGCAGCCCCAGAACAAACCTCACTGCTTGCTCCATCATTTTAAAGTTGTAGTGATAAAATTATTATTACTGTCATCAGTGTGAATGATTATCGTGTATTATAATTAAATGGATTTTTTAATGACTGAGAATAAATAGATGTAAGGAGATTTTGTGTTTTATTTTTAGAAATATGGACCCTTACCAATGTAAGTATATTAAGTTTGACTCAAATATTTGGGTCAAACCAACAACTAGTTATATTTTTTGTCGATTTTAGAAATCGACAATACGGTGTGTAGAATATTGGTTAATCTTTAACATAACGTTATGTTTATTATTAAAGACTGCCTCATTGGCCGGTAGGTAAAGCGTCTTGGGTTCGATTCCCGGATCAGCAAAGTATTACTGGAAGTGTTTTTCAAAAGTCTCAGTAGTAGCTTGGAGTCTGGATATTGGCTCACTCCCTATTACATAGGACTCATAACATAAATAGTGAAAAGTAGGTTACATTAAACAATGGCAGTGCCGTAATATGGACCTCTGCCTACCCCTTCAAGGCCTGATGTTATGTTATTATTAAAGAAAAAAACTTCAATCACATTATACACTTTATTAATTTAAATCACATTATTTTACAAGCACATACTTAAATTAACTTACAATATTTAAGAAATAAATAAAGTTTGTAGCAAAAATGGCGTAGCTTCGGCTTACATTTTAATTATTTTCTAAACTTAAACTACTGAAATCTAGAATGAATTGTTTGTCCAGAGTTAGAACTTTATAAAACAGAGACGATAATTACTTTTCAGATTAAGAATAAAATTGGACGTGTATTTCTCTTTTTTACAAACTCATCGACTTAAAAATGTAATAACATATTCACCATTTTCATACGTGAGAAACTTCCTGTTGCTTCAAGGTTTAAATTATTTATTTCGACATAACTAAGAATACATGTCTATATATATTGTTCTTCTTCAGTCGAACTAAATGGATATTTGATATTTTTTAATCGTCAACACTATTACTATCAAGTCAAAAGCCTTACAATCTAAATGACAGCATGATTGTTATTAATTTACAGCTTATATGAAATACATTACAGTAGAAAATGCAATAAATAGTCCAATTTCTAATATATTTTAATCACATGATCTAAATAACTCGTTTAGACTATTTCACATGCATGTACAATATGTTATTGAATTTAAATATTGATGAAAAGGATCGGATATTGTAGAAAGATGATGTCTGATTAAAGACTATGTAAAAAGACAATTGCGTTTACTTAAAGTAACTTCGCATTAAGACAAGCTTAAGTATTTGATTTTACGAATATCTTAATTAAATAATATCTTCGATACATTCTCTCGATTGACCAGGAAACTTCAATTAAAAAGTATCTAGAATACAATAAAGCGTCTAACTAATTCTAATATCATACCTACCAATAATATAATTAATAAAACTTAGCTTCAATCTACGTATAAATAATATTAGCTTAGGAACTGACAAACACGTTTGCTTAAGGCTTTGGCTGCCAATAAAAAACTGTTGAAGGCAAATCCTCCGCTAACGTCGGTCACCGGTGACTGCCATGGCGTTTAACGTGTTAAAGACTACAATACTATTAGGAATACTATTTTAAAACTGATATTCAAGCGGCCTGTAGATTATCACTGGGGCCCAATAACAGATCAAACATGTATCAATCACTGGGCCCCATGGGGCCCGTTCGTTAACTGAATTTTAAGTTACATGAACTGCTGTTTACATGTGAACATTAGCTCATGACGATACCTAAGTACGTGTGTCGCCTGGACAGTCAACCTCGCTACATCCTTATTGACTGGACATCTACACTACATGAGCTGTTTTTAAAAATATCACTGCATATTTTAAAAAGGCGGCGTCTAAACATAATTATCTAATAACATACATAAGTAATAAATAACTACCTATAACAATATCTAATGAGAATTTTATATTACAAATATTTATTTAAATTTGACATTGAAAAGGAACTTAGTTTCTGTAAATATGTATGATTTTAATTACCTGTATTTGAATTAGAAGCTTAAATCGTTACTATGTTAAATATGATGTTAAAAACAGGGGCGTAGCTAGCGCCTTATCTGCCGTATCACTACATAGTATAAAACAAAGTCGCTATCCGCCGTCTGTCTGTCCCTATGTATGCTTAGATCTTTAAAACTACACAACGGATTTTGATGCGGTTTTCTTTAATAGATAGAGTGATTCTTAAGGAAGGTTTATATGTATAATACATGCTTATTGCACCCGTGTAAAGCCGGGGCGGGTCACTATATTGTCAATTATAAAACAAAAGTTAATAAAAACTTTTTAATTTATTTCAGAAATCACAGTAATCATAATAAGTAATAAATTTTTCTGCATAAAGTATAGATCAAAAAATTGATAGAACATAAAAAAAAACTAAAGTCATCATAATCCGGTAATAATTTGAGCAGAAATACGGGGGTTGCCTGTAAAGAAATCAGGGAGTGATGAAAAGATTAATTTTATAGATTTTGATGTAATCTTTCTAAATTCATCTTGGAAAATTGGCGGCAATAGGGCTTTGGCAAATTTTTTTCTCTGTGCATTTCATGAGAAATACTTTTCCTATAAACAATTGACGGCGCACAAACTAAAAAAATTGTGTGGGACCCAGCCAACGCTCGCTACGCCACTGGTTAAAAATGATGATAAAGCACAATATTATTTGAAATAATCTGCTGCCTTTAGATTTGTCATAGATAACATTAATAGGCATTTGACATGTAATCAAAGTTGAAGTCAATTATTATATAAATTCACCGTGAAATCTATTTCGTTTTCGTCCCGAAGTAAAATAGTTCTGTCTCAGTAATACAATAGTTTTACAAAGAAATAAAATGTTTAAAACAAACAATAACTGGTGAACCATTGCAAAAAACAAACTTCGAAAGCGCATACGAACTCATAGTACATTATCAAAACATCACGCCATGTAATTCTAGAAGAGGTATTTCTCGTCGGGTGCACGTGCGATGCGAATAGTGACTACACATTTAAGTCTAGTATTTCATGTGCGTATTCCAATAAAATACTTTTTTAACTAAAAAAAATGACCCATTTATTTTTTCGTTTTTACTTTACTATACATCGAAAGTACTCCTTATGACAAGTTGTTTTGACGTGGGACGAAAACGAAATATATTTTACGGTGTATTTATTACTAGCTTTTACCCGCGGCTTCACTCGCGTCACAAAAGGTTAAAAAGTAGCCTATGTGACATATACCAATACACACAGCGCCATCTATACCAATACTTTTGTTTTCCCTCGGGAATATCAATTTTTCCCGGGATAAAAAGTACCCTATTATTTAATCCAGACTTCTAACTTTACGTCTGCAAAAATTCAAAGCAATCGGTTTAGTGGTTACGGCGTGAAAGCGGAACAAACAAACAAACAAATAAACTCACTTTCCGATTTATAATATTAGAAGATAGATAGAAGATAGTAAGGATGCCGGGGCCACACTAACGTCAACGTCAAAGCCAATTATCGCGATGTTGACTACGATAATTATTGCGATAAAGTGGGTGGCTACACTTGAAATTTCAACGCGAATGCCCATCATGCCAAACGGCAATGCGAATACCGTTGTCAAATTATCGCGTTAACTCGTGGCTACACCTACGGTGAACGTGCATTATCGCGATAAGCAATGGCATTTTTCGTTGGTGTGGCCCGGGCATTACACATGAAATGTCATGTCATAGCTTCATCAACACCATAGACCGAACAACATTGTCAGATTGTCACAATGCTGCCACCCACTGTCATGGGTGTATCCAGATCGTTCTCATAATATGTTCAGAGCCGTATTATTCCTAAGGCAAACTAGACAAGTCGCGGAGAACCTAACGTGTAACCGGGGCTCCGGCTCGACGTGCAGGAGAAGGAACGGGGTGGTTTTTAGTCAGTAAGAGGCTGACAGTCCCTCCCACGTCACCCAGGCGGGAGCAGTGATTCGATGATTATCCCCCCTTAAAAAAAAAACAACTTAACCCTTTACACCCGATAGATTTTTATTTTGAAATCGTCTATGTAATGGTTTTTACATCATTCTGTAGAGCCGTAGGGGCTTCGAAAAAATACTGAAAAAAATCTCAGGTTTATAGTTAACCCAGGAGTTAACCCTCACGATCGTGAGTTTTAGGTACAACTTGACTACTCACGATCGTGAGGGTAATTTAAATAGAATGTTTATCTTGATAGTTGGATGGAAAATTAAACTGATATATAAATGTTTGGGAGCTTATTACTTTAATCACCCATTCTAGAATCAGTCCACATTATTAAACTTAGGTACTATCGAATCCTTAATTCTTAAAAAACCAGCTTTGGTAACAAAAGTCATAAAAACTAAAGGAGTTCTACAGCTGATAGTAATTAATATTATTTAATCACAAAAAGGAACTATCAAAATTATGGTTCTTGATGATATGACTTAAAACAGTCTTTCCCACGGGAAAGCACAAGTATGTATCACATTTTTCGCATCGTATCTTCGTGCGGCTGCCACAAGTTTCATGTCGACCCATTCTTGGAGCTTTTATTTCACCAAATACCGGAAAATGTTCATAACCGTCATATTTTTTTGCTACAGAAGGTTTATTTGATGACCTATAGAATCATTTTCCACTAGCGGATCATTCTCAATATCACTGGACATTCGGCGTTCTTTGGATGGAATACTTGATAATCCGTCGGCTATGTTAGACGAAAATCCAATAAGGGCAAAATGTTTTTCCTGCTTAGCAATCCTAGCATCAGTGTTGAATTTAATTGCAGCACGATCAGAGATCCGGTTCATCATTATCGTTCCAGTGCCATGAAGATTCCTCCTGTGCTCTTCGATCAATGCGACAGTAGTAAAAAACCTATCATGGCAGATACAGCTTCCAGGTGGGACAAATTTATTCAAATGGAGAACCACAGAAGGCCTCATCCCGATTGGAGAGTCTCCAAACTCGGGTTCTTCTTCGGATTTCATGCCAGAGAATGTTTCCTCGAAATTGAGATCTTTCAGGACATTACGTTGAAAATTGTCATCATCTTCACCAAAATCTTCAATTTTGGAAAGGTTTCCATCACCCAAGATTTGTGAAATTTGACCGTCATTCATCTCTTGTCCTAAAACAAGAAAATATGCACGTTTTCAAATTTAATTCAAGCACAATTAATAAATAAAGGTTTCTAAGTTTTAAATTATTTCTTGCACGTACAACCGAAGCCACACAATCGTAGCAGTCAAATTTTATGACGAAATTGTATCCAAACTACAACGAAATTAATTAAAGTAAAAGAACTTTATTAATAAGTGTTCATTTGACTTTAAATTTACTTAAAAACCTAATACATTACTAAACAAATAATACGCGTAACTAGTACTTACCGGTGACGCTGCGAGAGTCAAAACACGTCGCCATCTCCCACCAAGGCTCGCAAGACACTGGCCGCTCGCACGGGCCTCGCGATTTTGTTGGCGCAAGCGAGATACCCTCACGATAGATCGATGCCGGTTGCGTTCGCAAAAAGCAAACGGTTTGGCGCCAGAATTTTTTAAAAGTTAAACGCACGCTCGTTTCATCCCGGGTGTAAAGGGCTAAGGCAAACTAGACAAGTGCCTAGGGCGCCAAGGTCTAGATGAGCGCTGAGACTCGCGTGCCCAAACGACCATAGAGAGACACCTATGAGGTTAGATGAGGTAAGTTTTAAGGTGTTTCTTATGTATAAGGGCGCGGTTTTGAAACCTACCAACGGTAAGTACCAATGTGACTGTTTGGGCCTGCGGACGGCGAGCATGGGTGGCTCCCCGTCCGACCAGAAACAGACCCGAGCGTACGGCGCGTCGCGTTCCGCGCGCGCCTCAAAGAGCCATCAGACCACCACAGATAGGGCCCAATAGGGACGATGCCGATTCGGAGTCGCTGAGAACCTAAAGGGTAACCGGGGCTCCGGCTCGACGTGCAGGAGAAGGAACGGGGTGGTTTTTAGTCAGTAAGAGTCTGACACTCCCTCCCGCCTCACCCAGGCGGGGGCAGTCATTCGATGATTTTCCCACCTTAAAAAAAAAAATGTGACTGTTTCCGAGTTATATGTATGTACTTTTTTTATAGCCGGTAAACGAGCAGACGGATCACCTGATGGTAAGCAATCGGCGTCGCCCATGGACACTTGGAACACCAGAGGCGTTACAAGTGCGTTACCGGTCGTTTGGGGATTAGGAGTTTGAGGATTGTTCGGGATTCAGGGATTGGGGAGATTGGGGAAGGGGGGGTAACCTCACTTACACAATGAAACACAACGCAAGCGTTGCTTCACGTCGATTTTCTGCTCGGCCGTGGTATCACTCCGGTCGAGCCGGCCCATTCGTGCCGAAGCATGGCTCTCCCACACTTTGTAAGATTATTTAGACAAATGGTGAAGGAAAATATCGTGAGGAAACCTGGCCTTATAATTTCTAAATATAAGTTTGAGCGCCAACCCGCATTGAGCAAGCGTGGTGATTAATGCTCAAACCTTCTCCGTGTGAGAAGAGGCCTTTGGTCAGCAGGGACTACTTATAGGCTAAGGCGCTGTCTAGATTTAGCCCCTGTACATGTCTATCAACTACTGATTACTGTATGCTACACGTTATAGGATGGGTCAACAAGTAATTTAATAGTACCGGAGTACCGGCAGCGACCTCTAGCTGCAGTTTATCTTCGGCGTCAGCATCCGTTTCCGTTATAGGCTCGTCGGATGACACTGACATCTTCTTGTCATCCAATAACATGTCTGTGGATGTGTTGTCTCCGGGGACTGTGTCTACGAAAACCTGGAAAAAGGCGAATGATAATATATATTAAAATAGTTCATCTCTTTATCACTCTCTGTCTACCCCTTTTAGTAATAATGTAATTGTGTCATCGTGACTGTCGCAAGTGGAAATGACAAACAAGAGGTCTTAGAGTTAGAAAATTCTCACTCCGGTCCCAATGTAGGGCAATTAGCTTACCTCCTACTACTGTCTACTCTGTGACCTGATCCTTCTCCTCATTACCAATCTCAAAATCCCCAAACTCCAAAACCCCAATCTCCAACTCTCCAAACTCCAAATCCCCAATCTCGAAATCCCCAATCTCCAAACCCCCAAACTACAAATCCCTATTCTCCAAATCCCCAAACTCCAAACCCCCAATCTCCAAATCCCCGAACTCCAAATCCCCAAACTCCAAACCCCCAATCTCCAAACCACCAATCTCCAAACCACTAATCTCCAAACCCCCAATCTCCAAATCCCAAATCTCAAAGTCCCCAATCTCGAAATCCCCAGTCCCCAAACGGTAGTCCTCAATAGGCTGGCAACGTACTTGTAAACGCCTCTGTTGCCGCCGCCGTCCACGCGCTGATTGCTTACCATCAAGAAATCCAGCTGCTCTATTCATTAAAAAGTAGACGTCTTGCAACTGGTATAATGATGGTACCTAGATGAGTTCCGTACCTCGTCATCATCAGACTCGGGCAGCTGGTGGTGAGCCTCCATGGCCTCCACGACGTACCGCGGCACGTAGCTGTCGTCGTCAGAGCTGTAGTCCTCGCTCTCTTCGTCGCACTCGAAGTAGCGGCTCTGGAACAAAATACACGATGGATATGATGCAGTGTAGGAAGTGTATCCTCACAGAAAACCGACGTGAAACAACGCTTGTATTGTGTTTCGTCTTTTGAGTGAGGTTACCTGAGGCCCAATTACCACCCCCCCCCTTCTCCCCAGTCCCTGAATATCCCCAACAATCCTCAAATTCCAGACCAGAGACCTCAGGGCTAATTTTGTAGGAAATTAGTTGTATTATCACCACCCGAGAGGAATACGTCGAATTGCAAGTCATTATCCCGTATATTTAGATTTTTACTCGCTGTACAACGCCGATTTAGGGATATATGTTACAGCGATTTTTAAAATCTAATTGTGTTCATCAACTTTAGATGCCGACCGTACCTAGGTGCCTAGAGGGCCAACTTATGGAGAAAATACTTCAATCCTACAAAAACATTCTGTAATAAACTAGCCAAGTCTCGATGGAGCTACTTTATCGCTAAAAAGTAATGAAATATAACAAAGTCATGCCAAGTCTAAGGTTCCTTATTGCGATTTCGTTGTAATTATACTTAATGTTGTGTGAAACCAGGTGCTCCATAACACCATTACACCAATCTGTCGCCAGAACCTACCCATTGGCGATGGAAAATTACCCACTTGGAAAACGTGGTGTTACCCTGCGCCTACCGTGCGCCCAGATAACATTTTGAGTTAACTAAAAATCCCGAGTTACTAGCGAGAAAATACTGAGAAAAGCTCTACTAAATAATATTTCGCTCGACGCAGGAATAGAATTTAACACAGTACCGTAGGTAACATATTACTAAGAATTTCGGTAATTGTAGGACTGTAGGTACGTAGAAGAATTTGAAGAGGGCACCTAAGTAAGATATTTGCCTACATAAAACCTTAATAATAAACTATACCGCTTCTACCGACCCGTTCGAGAAATAGAAGGCGCAATTGTATTCGGAATCAAATCTAAGACGTACCTTAATTGTTACCTTTCTGACTGACAGACTATTATTTATTTTGTATTTGTTGACGTTTCAAAAGTACCAAATTATGGTTTTATAATAACTATCGTGAGACATACTATAACTCGTCGAGTACTGGTTTTGTAGACACAATTATAGAACAATAGGTTGCGGTCACCGGTGACCGCTTGGTGTTTGACAGTTTAACTAAAGATAGCTCTACTAGTTTCGAACCACAGAAAGGTTCTTGCTCATGAGCTGAGCAGCGTGCGCGGTCGGCGGCGGCGGTATATAAGCTGCGCGATATCGCCAGTAGAAACTAGTAAAGCTTTTCTTAGTATATTCACGTGAGTAACCCACGATTTTTAGTTAAATTATGGTTTAAGAAAAACTATCTATTAAACTATCTAACTATAAACTAACTAACGATCTATCTAACTAACTAATAAAAAATCCGCATCAAAATCCGTTGCGTAGTTTTAAAGATCTAAGCATACATAGGGACAGACAGACGGCGGATAGCGACTTTGTTTTATACTATGTAGTATCTTGTATGTATTTTTTATCTCCGAAGGGGTAGACAGAGGTCCACATAATACAATGTAACACCCATTTTTCACCAGTTCTGTTACGAATCACATGTGAGAGGGTCTATTTAAAATAAATGCTTTGACTTTAACTTTGTAAGCCTAAGTAGGTAGGTACTTAGGGGCCGTCTAAGACTCCGCTGGGGCCCTTAGGTACACAATAATCCAAGACCTTTTTGAAATAGTTTTTTTAACGTTGCCCCACCCACACTAGGATTTTCTACTATATAGTGGATGCATTTAAATGCATATACAAATTGACATACACACGACACCCAGACCTAAACAACAATTTGCACAAAGATTTGTTCCGAGCGGGAATTAAACCCGCTACACGTTTGCTCTACAGCGGGTGTGTCGCCGTAAAAAAAATGTCCATCCTTCGGAATGTAATAAAAAAACTAATTCCAATAAAAAAAATATCCTGAGGATGGGGGTGGGAGGCGAGTGCCTTAATGATAAAAACTTTACTGACTTAGACAATTAGACTGTATCAAAACACAAACAATAAAATGCGCGCCAATAATAAATTAAGGTCATTACATTAAATCCGTATTACCTAATTCATTACAAAGTCTATAAACCTACTAATATCCATTAGAATAATGTAATATTTATCAATATTTAATACAAAGATTAATATAGCACGTGTATGGTCATAGGTCATTGCTTAAGTACCTATAAACTAGGTAATGGACACAAATATAGAAGCTGATCTCATTTACGCAGCGTGCAAATTAAAATACTCGAGGTTAAACTTCTTTAGCATACATTGATTGTTTTGTATAGAAGATAGATTAGTTGCAGTACAATATGTAATAGTTTAGATGCAATGTATGTTAAAAAAATTGCTAGATAAACGCAATGAGTTGCTTTGTGTTGACAGCTGACTGATAAAAGTTATTGACGTGAGTTTGGTACGCCTGCGCTGTGGAGTTACGTTTCGTTCGACGTCGAATTGGCTACTCAAATAATGTTTATGATTTTCGACTAAAAGTTTATTACGTAGGACACGCTTAATGAATAAAAATACTTTAGTTTGGTTATTATTTCACAGTTGTTATTAAATTTTGAATAAAAGAAATAACCTAAACGTGAAATATAATAAACACCTTTTCTTTTCTGCACTAAACGGAACGCGCTCAATCTTACCAACATACAGAAACGAATAATTAATTCATCTGTCAAAAAAATGACGACAACAGAGTTATTGTGATATTTGTGATACGGACGTAGAAAAAACTACGAATCGCTATCAAAACACAACTGAATCAGAGTTGAAATGAGACGTAATGCAAGATAACAGTTGTGTGCTTGAGTAAACCAGAAAAACATTGACGTGCGGATTGCAAAATTTTACGCAAATGTACGCGAGATATAATTGTAATTGTTGATCATCCTTTGTGTAAAATTTAACGACCATGGCAGCAGCCATCGCGAACGACTCGCCTAAATACAGGAACAGCTTGATATGCTGCAGCCCGAGCGTAGAAGCTACTTCTAGAACCTCAACATCTTCAACATCAGGGAACGTTTCCATTGACGAAGGATACGACTCGAATTGCATACCAAAATCTATTGCGAATAAAAAGTTGAAGATCCACAGTTCCGCGACTAAGGAAGAGATAGAAAAAGCTATAATACAGTGCAAGGAACTCGTTTTAAATACGGCACAATGTTCAGACGAGCGCAAATGGCTTGTAAGGTACCTTGTAGAATTAAGATTACGTTTGGAAGATATAAAAGACAATAATGGGCAAGCGAGGTTGCGCGTTTCCATAAAGGGACATCACTTTGAGCAGCAAACGAATCCTTCAAACCGTAAGCAGTACTGCGACCACTGTAGCGGAGTCATTTGGAGTATAGTGCAAGGGTCCTACATATGCAGTGATTGTGGATACCTGTGTCATTATAAATGTGTAGATCACATATGCCGAGTATGTGCTCATGTTGTTATGACAGAAAAAGGTAGCTTCGAAATGAGTATATGTCCCGAAAAAGGCTTAGCAGCGCAAGACTACAAGTGCGCAGAGTGCCAAACTGCATTAACCTTCAAGGACATGTGGAATGAACCACGGCTATGTGACTATACAGGCTTATATTTCTGTGCTACATGCCACTGGAATGATTTATCTGCAATACCTGCGCGAGTGATACATAATTGGGATTGGGAAAAACGGTATGTCTCTCGAATAGCATACCAAATGCTGAACTTATCGTGGTCTAGGCCATATATTGATGTAGAGAAGATAAACCCCAGGTTATTCAACTTCATAGCTGAGTTAGAATGGGTACACAAGATGAGGAAAGACTTGGAATGGATGCGACGATACCTCTGTGCTTGTGCAGAAGGCACAAATTTATTATCACCGTTATTTGTGCAGCTTGGGGATGTCAACAAGAAGTACAGTATGAGTCATTTGCAAGCTATTAACGATGGGTCTTTAGAGACACAGCTAACGGAGCTAACGGAAGTGTGTCGGTCACATATAACGAGCTGTGATCTTTGTTCTGGGAAGGGGTACCTCTGTGAGGTATGTAAGAATAACGAGGTTTTGTATCCGTTTGACAGCGGAGCTTTGATGTGTGATAAGTGTAATTCCATGTATCATAGAGGTTGTTGGCTACGGAAAGGGCAGAAGTGTCTTAAGTGTCTTCGGTTAGAGGAACGGAAGAAGACCGTTGACGAAGTGCAAACTGAAATAACGGACACATTAGAATATGACATTGACAAGTTTGTGAATTAATTTTTTTATAAGCAACGCATTGGCTTTAAAATCGATGTTTTTTTTAAAGTTTATTAGAGAAGTTCTGCTTGCAAATTAGCGACTTGGTCGTGCGTTTTTAACGACTGTTATTTATAGTTTTTACATGGATGCGTTTGGTTGCAAATAGTTATTTTACAATAACAAAATTGTATTAACATTTGCGTTGTGCTATTTTAACTTCAATTACCTTGACATAAGATACACAATAACTACAGTAAATAACTTTTGCTCTCAACACCTCTCATAAATCTTAGTAAATAGAACTCAAAATTGACTGAAGACACTGCAATATAGAATTTGTTGAAAATACCCAAATGCGCCCATGTAAAAAAAGATTTGAGTTTAAAATAAGTCTTTATGCTTCCAAATTGTATAAAAAAATTATATTTTGCTATATAAAAAAAAAAATTAGATAGGTATAAAAAAATTTGACTCGTCGCAAATCTGTGAGCAGTTTTTGAGACAGGGTTTCCGAAAAGCATATTTTGACAGTAAAAAAAATTAATTAGTTGTTAAAATGCAACATTCTTGGTTATGGTATTTAAAATTACCAAAGTTCTTTATTTAGGTATAAAAATTCAGAAACCCTGTTTTAAAAAGTATTAAAAACTATTTAAATTAAAAAAAAATGCTTTAAAAATACGACAAAGAATGTAAATTCGTGCCTGTATCATCTGAAAACATACATTCATGTAAATAATAATGAATTTTTATAGACATTATGTACTGACAGATAACTAAGCAATATTATTCAATCATCTAACAAATAAATGCTATAAAAAATGTTAAAAATCTCATTTTATTTACTTGTCCTAAAATTATCAGTAAATATTCAATTTATAGACTGTAATTTGTCAAAAGTGGTTGATAAATTAAAAATGTCCAATTATGCCTACCTCTTCAGGGAAAGGCGTAATGGCCGCACTGGTCCAGGAATGGACCTTGGTTTAAATGACCATTTAGGAATGGGGTTTTTCAGTTTAAATACATAAAATATTCCTTATTTAAGTAATCCTACAATACCCTGCATCGTAACTTTTTCTATAAAAAATTATATTTATATTTATTTATAAAGATTTTCTCCTGTGTCGTGGGTGCGTTTACAAACATACAAGTTCACATACACATGACACCCAGACCCGGAACAACAATTTGTGGATCACACAAAGAGTTGTTCCGTGCGGGAATCGCATCGAAGCTGGTCCAGCTGGCCCAGCCACCGCACCAACCGTGCACTCGACTTATATAAATATTTAATGTGTCCACGTTTGGCTACTATCTTTCGTCGCCTGCTGGTAGTCGAAGATGTGGTGTGGGATGGAGCACGTCTGTCCCTAAGTAACCTATTCCCTTAGGCCTGAAGACATCCAGGTTACCGTTCAGTTAACGTGATAGTCAAGAAAAAAAAAAATAAGTGGAGCCTGGACAAAGTAAATATCTTTAGATTACAATGTCTACAAATTCTCGTGAAAAAGAACAAAGCCTTTGCGGTCTTTTAATCGTATCGTAAACAAGCAGATGGATCACCTGATGGTTTAAGCAACCAGCCCCGCTCGTGGACACCTGGACTGGAACACTAGACGTGTACCTAATAAGTGCGTTACAGCCTTTTCGGGTTTTGAGATTTCAGAATTAAGGAATTGGGGGTGGGGGGAAGATTAGGATTGTTAACACAAATTTTCTGTGAGGCCGTGGTATCAAAAATTAACTTATGAAAATTCAATGTTACATTAGGTACATTGTAATGCTTATTACTACTATTATATAAAGCGGAAGAGATTGTTTTTTGTTTGTTTGTTTGAACGCGCTAATCTCCGCAACTACAAGTCTGATTTGAATAATTCTTTTTGTGTTGGATAGCGCATTTATCGAGGATGGTTATAGGCTTTTTTTTTTCTTTTTTTTTTTTTTTTTTT